GGAAGCTCCATGTTTAGCAGTTTGAGAAACCTCCAAACAGTTTTCCATAGTGGTTGTACTAGTTTGCATTCCCACCAGCAGTGCAGGAGAGTTCCTTTTCCTCCACATCCTTGCCAGGTGTTGGGTTTTAAAATTACATTCTCTTAAAGCGTCAGTGTAACCCTGCAGGTTTTTAAGTTAGGAATTAAAATAGAGAAGTAAGTTGCTGAAGGTCTCAGCTAACTATAGAAAAGCCTGGTTTCAAAATCTAGTCTTTTGCATTCCACAGCTCAAGTTATTTCTTTTACATACAACTTTGTATTCTTTTGTTTTCCATGGGCATTTTAATAGGCTTTTTTCTAAGATTTAAAAAATTTTTTCCTTACCAATATTTTTATGATGCTATAGTCTTCTAGCAACTAGATGTGCTATCATTTTTCCCACTGTTCCCCCGTGTATGTTTGCTTTCACACAATTATTATTAGTAATGTGATGATGAACATGTTTGTGTGTACATCCATGTCTAAATTGTGAATAATTTCCTGAGGTTGCTTTCTGAAAAGGCTGGTTCTTAGTGCTCCCCCGGACCTTGCCCCAAACCCGTCTCCTACCCTGTCTTGCCTGTGTCCTCCCACTAACTGCCTCGCCACTTCCCTCATAGTAATATTGGGCTTAGGTCTCCTGCCATTGGAGTTATGACTAAAACTGACCTAGGCACCTCATCTTCAATTTCACCTTCTTTTTAGGGCCCCTGGTGGGAGGTTTTTGGGACCCCATACTCCAGATTGGGTGTCAAAGGCACAGAGTAGTCTCCAGCAAGCACTTCTCCATGAGCAAATCTGCTTATCTGCCAGCCTGAAGGAGGCCAGTACTTCCTCACACTTTTTCCCTCTCCTTGCAGCCCCTAGCCTGCAGAGCAGTGTTCGGCAGCGCCTGACGGAGCCACAGCATGGCCTGGGATCTCAGAGGTTGGTAGAGGCCGAGGCTGGCCACTTCTTGACAAGCCGGGTATCCCTGCGTCGAATGCGCAGCCTTTCATCTGGACAGTCTTTCAGTTCTGAAGGCTACGGGACCAGCTCTCCATCTGCCTCTGCTTCTTCTTCCTGCTCCTCCACCACCACCACCACTACCACCACCACCACCACCACCACCACCATCACCACGGTTCATGTCCACCCCGTTTATTACCACCACAGCACTTCCTATTTCCTCCAGATGGATCCCTACCCTGACCCACCCCCTTCTGACAACACCGCTGTGATGCCTGGGTATTCAGAGAGCTTGGGGTATCGGCTGTCTCTCTTTTCTTTCTTCCCTTCCTTCCCTCTCTGCTGCCTTTACCTTGTCCGATGCCTGCTTGCTACTGCTGGATCAGAGGTGGGGGTGTGAGCAGTGGGGCATCTTCTCCTTACACTGCCCTGCGACTCCTTCCAAAGGTCAATGTAACTCCCCACACCTTTCTTCCTTTTGTTTGGGATTTGCTGACTCTGAAAAGAATTAACAACCCTCTCCTTCATGGCCCTGTAGCACTTTTGCCTGAATCTGTACCTCATGTCCATGTTTCAGTGGAGCCCTAACTTCCTTTACTCCTTCAACAAATGTTTTTTGGTAGCTACTCTGTGCCAGCCTCACTGATAATGGGGATTCATGGATAAGATGCAGTCCCAGACATCAAGAACTAGTCTGGCCTGGGAGAGGTACATAAGTAATTATGGAACAACATGGTGAGTGCTATAGGGGCATTGAGGAGGGAGTGACTAACAGTGTGTAGCTGGGTGTGAAGCTTCTTAAGAAATGGCATTTATGCTAACACCCTGTGTGCATGGAAAGGAGAAAGCATGTTCCAAGCAGAGGAAACGTGTGCAGCGCATGGAAGTGCAAGAGAATATGGTATAATGGCGGCCAGAATGTTGGATACCTGTGGGAGGGAAGGGATCACAGGTGAGACTGGGAAGATAAAGGGCTCCTAAAGACTAGGGTCTTTGATCACTACCCTTAGGGAGATGGAGAACCACAAATGGGATTCCTCAAAGAAAGTGAATTAGTTTAATTTGCATTTCAGAAATAACATTTTAGTTATTAGGATGACAGGAATGTGGTAGTCATTGTTGTAGGCGCTTAGGAAGGTAACCTGATCATGGGCTGTTAAGGAGAGAATTAACTTGGTAACTGCTGCAAGGGGGGAAGGTGAGGAAGGACTCTTGATGAAACCCAGGTTCTAGCTTGAGTGACTAAATGGATGCAGTGGGGAAACAGCTTTGAGTGTTTGGACAAGAAAACTTTACAGGTGGGCAAGCATTAAATACTCACTTTCACAGTAGGAAGTTGAGGGTTGGGAAAGGTTAAATAGTTTTCCCCAGGTCCCATAGCTAATTTAGAACAGAACATACACTAGACCTTGGCTTTTCATTCCAGGACACTCTGTTGGATATTTTTGTCCTTCCACAAGGTCCCAATAAGTGAGCTATATAAGAATTGGTGAAAAGCTTTTTACCCACAGCCTAATCTGCAGCTGCAGGGACTTTCTCTGCTCTACTTCAATTTGATAGAAAAGGGTCAGAGGAAGTAGCCTTGACCTTGCCTGGAACAAGGGGACACTCTAAGAGTCTTCTAGAAAGACTTCTCCTCTCTAAAGTTGTGACCACAGCTTAATCCTGACCTCTGGTTTGTAGCCTGCTTACCCATCTACCTGCCTCCCTCTAGTTACCCTCTAGCTCTGCCAATGAACCTCTGGATAGTTATCCTTAGAGGTGTTCCTTTCTCTTTGACAAAGGAACTTCTTTATTAGCATTATTACTAGGCAGAGCCAATCATTTTCATTCTCATTCTCATTTTCATCCAAAAGCCTAGGCAGCGAGACAGCCCCTCCCAATACAAGTGGCGAAGACTGTATTGGGCTGGGGACACTATGGGATGGATGCTGTGAATCTCATGCTTTAAAAGGCCCAAACTGAGGGGATTGGGGAGGGCGTGGGGAGGTATCTGCACCCACCTGGCCTGTTCACTACTTAATTTTCTTTTGCACCATGCACCAGAGGATCGTCTCTAAAGGCAAACAGGCTCTCTAGTAAGGTTAGTAGCTTGGGGTGGGAGCCCATGCAGCCCAGCCTTTGGGGAGGGACACTCCTGGCCTGAAATGTCTCAAAGATTCAGGGAGGGAAGGTGAGCCCAACTGAATGGGCTTTTTCCCTCCTGCATTTACCCAGGCCTCCTACTAAGTTCTTTCTGTTTTGAAAGTTTTAGTTTTTAGTTGGTGAGGAGGTCTAGAAGGATGGGATCATGCCCAGGAGGGACTGTGAGCCTGGAGGAATGAGTCTAAAGGAGCCCTGGCCTCTAAGCCTCTCTGACTTTGTATGAGAAAGGTCAGCTCCTATAATTCTTACCTTCTCAATCTACAGGTCCCCATTCCCAGTGTGGTTGCTCCCCAGAACTTCTTTGGCACCTTGCTCAGATGTTCCTATGCACATGAAAAGGCAGACAATGGGGAGGATCACTTTGGGATGAGGAGAAACAAAGGCATCTTTAAATAGAAGAAAGGAAAGCCTCAGATATAGGAAACCAAACACTATACTAAATATTGCTCAAAATGATTATTGTGTCTAAAACCGTATTTGTAGAAAGGAAGCTGGAGCTGGAATTGTCCACTGATGTCCCTTGTCTCCAGGAAGGTACTGATCCATGGGGTGGCTGCTTAGTTAATTACTTCATGTTGAGATTAAATGTATAATAGTCATGGGTCAACCTCGCTCCTGCTTTTGCCTGTTTTTGGGCCCTGCTGCCCTTCCTAACTTTGGACCTATAGCCTTCTTGTCCCGTCCTGTGTTTCTCCCCTTTCACACTCATGATTCTTGCCCTTTGGCTTCCTGACTTGGATGTTTAAATGCCTCACCTCAGCCCTCTCCTCTGCCTCTATCATGCCTCTGGGAAAACAGAAATAGGATTAAGGAATTGGCAGGGAACCCCCATATCTGCCCTTTTGTCCGTAATAGAAGGAGGGATGGTTTCCAGAACTGGTTGTGGCCTTCTTAGTAATAGCCTGCCCTTCAAAGGGTCTTGACTTTCTAGATTAGCTTCTGTGTGTGCATGACCAGTGTGCCGTGAGGTCCCTATAACTCAGCCTTGCAAAGAAACCTCTTGTGGTCAACCCACATATGAGTCTTCTGGTTTGACTGTTCTCATCATCTTCATTTCTGCAATACTTTCCACATTTCCAAGGGCATTACAAACACAGACTTTGTTTATCTTCCAAACAGTCTTGCAAGATTAATTGAATTGGTATTATCCTTATTTGGCCAAAATTGAGAACCAGCAAGGTTAGATGACATGTCTGAGGTCACACAGCAAACCTCAGGCACAGATGAGAATTGGATCATAACCTTATGACTTCTAAAACGCAATTCTGAACCACTGCTCCTTAAAGGCCAATTTCCTATCTTTCTACGCCAACCTACTTCCTCTGTCAGAAATGTCCCCACCCGTTCTACTGTCAGCACTTTGGTGTGAACTTTGAAACATTTTTGTGTGACTGCCTTTGAATCCTGTGAGAGGGTTGGAAAAGGTAGGATTCTGGCCCTTTGGGGTGGGTGAGGGATCATTTGCAAGGCTGCTCCAACCTTCTCCTTCCCAGCCTGGGTCAGGCCTGCTCACTGCATGTGCCCTGTTCCTTCAGGCCTGGCCCAGACTGGATGTAGCCCCGGGTGCGACTTGAGTAAGTAGAGGAAGAAGGAACAGAAAGTGATGACTCGGAGCAATATGCAGGGACTGTTAGTTTAGGGTTGAGTCCTAAGAAATCTAGCCAGTTAAGGTGAGGTAGAATTTTATCAAGAAGGCTGTTTAGGGCCAGGGCATTCATTCATCAGGGGTGGGATCCAAGTATTAGAAAATCCTTTGCCAGACATGACATGATATAATGACATTTGATTTTGCTGTTTTCTTCTCTAACTTCTCTCCCCATCACTTTTCCTTTTCTTTCATTTTCCCCTCTTCTTGGTCCTTATTTCTACCTGCTTCTCCTTTTGCTCTCCTTCCTCCCCAATTTTATTCTCTTCTCCAACGTATCCCCCCACTCCTTATTCTTGTTTCCTCTCTCATCCTGTACTCATGGCAACTTCCTTCTGTTTCTCATTCTTCTCTTTCCCACCTCCCTATTCATCCTATTTTATTTCTCTCGCCTCTCTCTCCATCCCCTCTCCTGGTCTTCATGTATTGTCCCTCTCTCTTCAACTTTCCCCCTATCTTCCTACCCTATATGTGTCTCTTTCTTCCTCTGACTTATTTTGCAGGGATTTGACCCATTCCGATTCGGAGTCCTCCCTCCACATGAGTGACCGCCAGCGTATGGCCCCCAAGCCTCCTCAGATGGTCCGTGCAACAGACGAGGCTCTCAATGCCATGACTTCCAACGGCAGCCACCGGCTGACTGAGGGGGTCCATCCGGGGCCTCTGGTGGAGAAACTGCCTGACAGCCCTGCCCAGGCCAAGAAGGCACTATTGGCGCTGAACCATGGGCTGGACAAGGCCCATAGCCTGATGGAGCTGAGCCCCTCAGCCCCACCTAGTGGTTCTCCACCTTTGGATTCTTCCCGTTCTCACAGCCCCAGTCCCCTAGACCCAGACACACCAATTGGGGACAGCCGAGCCCTGCAGGCTGGCCGAAATACACGCATTCCTCACCTGGCTGGCAAAAAGGCAGTGGCTGAGGAGGATAATGGCTCCATTGGTGAGGAGACAGACTCCAGCCCCGGCCGAAAGAAGTTTCCCCTTAAAATCTTTAAGAAACCTCATAAGAAGTAGGCAGGATGAGGGTGACAGTGGTGGGACAGCTTGTCCTTCCCTGGCCTTCCGCCTGCCTTTCTCTCCCTTCCAAGATACCTGGCCCCTAGAGTGGGGCACGGGAGGGGCTGGCCCAGGGGCCTGGGCACTGTACATACCTGCCCCCTCATCTTTGGGTCCTTCAACATTATTTATTAACTGACCACAATGGCCTGCCTGCCCTGCCTCCCTCCCAATCATGGGCTGCTGTTGTCACACCCTTTCCACTTCAGTGCATGTCTTAGTTGCTGTGCCCTCAGCTCCCCAGCTCCACCTCTGGGTCCAGCTTCTGTCTCTGCTGTCCCAGTTTTGAGGTTTGGTTTATCGTTTCTTTTTGTCTCCTGCTTTCAGGCTCCTCCCTCCCACCACTCTCCAACTTCCCCTAGAAGCTATGGGGGAAGATAGGAAAAACTTTTGACACCTGTGCCTCTGATCTGTCCCACCCCATCCACGATTTTTCTGTTTGTCTCAGCTTGGGGCCTAAGGCCTAATATTTGAGGCATGTTCTTTGGGAGTGTGGAGGGTTAGAGGGAACCTTCTCTGGAGTTTATTCAGAACTTAAGGGGTTCATGGGGGAAGGAAAACCAGTTCTCAGAGAACAAACCACTAGAGAGTTTTGAAGAGAGACCAGGCTACGGGATAGAGTGGTAGAGACTTAGTTGAAGAATGAGTAGATGCTAGAGCTGTGGGCTACAAGGCAGCGAGCCACCTTTTCTCTCTTCTACCACCCACACCTGCCTCTCTCTGATCTCTGCTCCCTGACACCACAGGAGGGTTTGTCTATAAGAGGTGCTGCCCCAGTGTTCCCCAAACGCCAGTGCTCCTGGGGCTCCAGACAATCAGCTCCCCTGGCCATGGGAGCCACAACCATGATACAGGGCTCCAAAGGGCCCTAAAGCTGTTTAGGCAAGGATGTTGTCACATTTGAACCAAAACACAGTTTAAAATTGAAAAAAGAAATCTCCTCATTTTCCCAAGTGCCTGCACCACATACTCTAACATGTCAGACTCCATTTTCCTGTTACTGCATAGCCTGGGCCAGAGGCTCAAGACCCAGTTGGTTTAGGGAAGGGGTGGCTAATGAAGAAGGTGTAGGTGAAGGCGGCTATGTGACCACTTCCTCCACCCTTCCTACCCTTTAGACAACTCTCTCTCTGACCTGTTTTTGCTATGGCTGTAAAGGTATTTCCCTCTGTCCCTCTCCCTGCCATGCCTTTACCCTGGGATCCTATTTTTGGGTCTGGGGTAGATGTACCTGGGGTTGGTCTTAGGAGGGTGCTAGGCTGCAGACTAGCTTGTACCCCCTAGGCACCCTCACATGGATTTTTCTTTGTTCTTTCATAAGACTCTTTGAAGTTCAATAAAGCATGTAGGAGATTTTAACCTCTGTTGGCTTTGACTCTCTTTGTGTTCTTTGTGCTCTCTGGGGCCTTGCAGACAGAACAGGCTATTCTCTGCCTAGGGGCAAATGAAACACTAATGCACACAAATATCTGGGTAAGGTTACCAGATGGAAGACAAGATGCCCAGTTACATCTGAATTTCTGATAAACCGTGACAAAAAATTTAAAGTATAATTATGTCCCATGCAATACTTAGAAAAATTTTTACTTGCTAAATCTGGCAACTCTTATCTCTGGGTCATCTTGACCCTATCTGTCCTCTAGCTTCATCAATGACTTTTAGAATTCACAGCGCACTTGGCACGCGGCTGGACAGGTTTAGGAAGGCTGCCACAAGAGATTTCATAATGATCAGCTTGTATAGCTCAAATATGAAGCTTCACATCAACCTTGTACATTAATTCTCTCATCTTAAGGTCACCAGTTTCCAGGCTGTTTTGCTGACCGTCTCTGCCACTGGAGAATTCTGAAAGCAAACGGATCATGGTCCTGCCCCGCTCAACTACACCCCCCCCACCCCCGCCCCCATCCCTCCAAGCCCTATTTCTGTCCACATCTAGGGTCAGTCTCCCTGGAAGTCCGTCTTCTAACCCCAGGGGCTTTCTGCAGTTCCTAGCTGCCCTCGGCTACAGTCCTGACGGCAGTCTTCGGTTTTCGTAATGCAACAGTCATCAAAAGAACAAAAAGTGTTTTGGATGGTTGGGTGTTTGCCAATATTTAAAAAATTCACGAACCATTTGAGCGGGCGCGTGGGAGGGGGCGGGGCCTGGCCTGGCGGGCTCGGCGTGTCGCGAGAGCTCCCGGGGCCCCAGTTAGCTTTGCCGCATCCAACATGGCGAGCGGGCAGCGCCGGGCGGTGCGTCCACACAAAGGCGCGCTGAGAAACGGCCTGCCCCTACGCAGCATGGCGGCTGCAGAGACGGGCTGCTGGGCTCAACTGGTCCGGCCCACCCGGGCCCTGCAACCAGCGTCGAGCGACGTGACTGGAGCTCCGTTACGCCGCCTTGCGTCGCCGGCGGGTGGTGGGAGCGGAAGGCGCGTTCGGATTTCCGCGCCTCATCTGTGGAGCAGAGTGCTCGCAGGTCCCGACTCCGCTCCCGGCGTCTGAGTAGACCCTGGAGTTCGGCCCTTCGCACTCCGCCACCTCGGTCCCTCTGGTGATTCAGAGCTGCAGCTGCATCCCGAGCTCTCAGCGCCTCAGCCACTAGCCGCGATGCACGTGATCAAGCGAGGTGAGAGGCCGGAGCGGCGCGGCGGGATGCAGGGAGCGGGCGCAGGGGCGGCGGTGTGCCACGCGGGAGCTGTTGGCCGAGCCCGCCCGCCGCTTCCCGCCCTGCCGGCTTCCCGCCCTGCAGACGGCGGCTTCCCGCCCTGACAGCCAGCCGGGCGTTCTGGCTTCCGTCCGTCGGCTCCCCCACCCCTCACACTGAAAGTCTGCGCCCCTGCGTTTTATAAGTCGAATCGTTACCGTATGCGCCTAGCATTTTCCAGGGTGTATATTGCTCCTCACCATCAGCCCCTGAGGTGGAGATTTTTAGCGCCACGTCGCAGATGAAGAAACTGAAGACACGCTCTGCGACTGGCGCTGAGTCTTGGGCAGTGGATGGTGAGGGCAGGATTCGAACCCAGAGCTCTCCACGGAGTTGTATTTGAAAGGTTTATTTGAAAACGGCGGCATTGGTGACCTACTAAGCACTGCGGAGAGCTGGGCATGAAGGGATCACGAACCTGCAGGACACCTCAGTTTCCAGATCTCTTTTGGGGGTGAGGGTAGGGGCGTGGGGTGAAAAAAGCAACCAGACACAGTCGTCTGCCTGGAATTTGTCCTTGGTAGGACATGGATGCCGTTTATCCCAGAATCATGCCAGAGGAGTTTGAGAGAGACCGGCTGGCCTTGCCCCTGAAGGAAAGAGATAACAGAGTGGTGGAGGGTGGGGGTCCCACCTCAGGCCGGATGGGACCCCGAAGAGCCGAGAGCGTATATTCTTCCGTAAAGTTACCCGTTAGACCTGTGAGCATCCCCTTTGTGCCAGCCCCTTGCTTGGCGGTGTGAATTTCAAAGAGGCAGACCCTGCCTGGGGAAAAGGTTTAATCAGGCCGGCAAACCCCGAGCGAACATAACTTTAATGCAGGTATGAACAAGTTTGGAGTCCCATATGCTTGCCTCTTACAGCATAAAGTTCTTTCAAAGTTGGAGGGAGTCAATACTGATTGGCTGGGCTGTGAGCGTTTCAGAGAGATGGCGCCTTTATGCCCACAGCACCGAATGCTCAAAGAAGGCATGAGAATAATTACTCTAAAATATGGCATGTGGGGAATGCTGTGGGTCGGCACGTAGTTGATTTGGCTGTGTCTAGATGGTTTAACGACAACCAGGAGATGGGACAGTGGCGGCCCTTCTTGTTTTTAGTGTCTAGACAATGCCATTCTCTGAACTTCCCTCGGTCCCCATTTTCCCTGATGCGACTAAAATAACACAGTGTACCGTGGGAGACAAGCATCCAGTTTTTGAGACATTTAAGGAAAGATATGGAAGGATGAAAATATTCTGAGTCTGTAACACGAGTGTATTGTGATGTAACACTATTGTGTTGGAATTTTTAACCTTTTGTGCCCACTTTGACACATACTTTTTTGTAGTTTAAAAAGTATCTACAATACTCTAAAAGACAGGGCTTAATTTTCTCATTCCTTCAGAGAACATAATTTGATGCAGATGGTTTCACTGCTAGGTTCTGCTAGTGTTGCATTTAGCACGGCTTGTTAATATACAAAGGTACTTAAATTTATTTCACTTTTGAATTTTGAAAAAAGTGTCTTTTTTTTTTCTTCTTATTTTTGGCATGCCAGTATAGTAGCAGACTAACTCCTGTGGCTTTTATTAATTTAAATATAGTGTTCGGCAGGTAGCTCGCAATCACCCTACAAGTTTTTTTCTGAATGTACTAATGTTAATAATCTCTTGGTTAGCACTATGAGGGAAATAATAGAGGGAGAAGACCCTCCATCTTCAGGGTTGTTAGTTATGTAGGAATAATTCATATGGGAATCATTAGATAACAGAAAGGAAGAGTAGATAATAAGTTTACCATCGAGTTATTTTTCCAAATAGACTACTACTGCTCAAGGAGATTAAAGTTAAAAAATAAAAATTGAGAACTGTTGCTATGAATTGCATTGTAGCTGACTGAGTTGCAATATGTTTTGGAATTTTAGTATTTTCAAAACTGGGTTGTAACCCACGGTAATTATATTTTACATCCTGACTGAGTACATTTGTATGTTTTTCTGTAAAACTGAAATAAAATTTCCCAAAATAATATGCTCTAAAGCATACATTTGCGCTGATACTATCTTCCATATAGCTCTTCTATCATCCCTCCCTCCCTTCTTTCCCTTCCTTCTTTTCCCCCTTCTTTTCCTCCCCTCTCCTTATCCCTTCTACTGCTCACTGTATTATTTTACAAGTTTGTGTGGATACTGTTCTGGGTGAGATTACAGTGGTGAGTAGCAGACACAGTTCCTGCTTTCAAAGATCTTAACAGTCAGTTGAGAAATAGATAAAAATATTGATATAATGAGATAAATACTCTCACAGGTAAAATTCAAGTTATAGGAGCCTATTCAAGTCAGTTATTCAGAATGTATTTATTCACTTTGTTTTGCCAAGAACTTTCTTAAGTGCTAAGGTTTCAGCAAGTGAACAAAGCAAACGAAATCCTTTTTTTAATGTTTACATTGTGATGTGGGTGAGAGTGGTAAGTATACACAAGAAAAATATAAGAATTAATTTCAGGTAACTACCTGAAATATATCAATATAACTATATAATTTATAATATACCAGTTATATATTGATTGATGAGATGGCAATAGTAAAACAGGGTGGTGTGATAAAGATAATGAGAAGGTAATTTTGGGTTGGATCCTCAGGAAGTAAATTTGGGGAGCTGGCATTCGAGTTAAAATGTGTGTTTTGGAATTGTAGTGTTTTCAAAACTTTGGATTGTAGCCCAAAGTAAATACTAAAACACCTGAATAATACTACATGTTAGTATGTGAAGATCTGTGGGCTGAACATACTAGGTAGAGGAATTAAAAGTTTGTATTTTGTAGAAGGGGCACATCTTTGGTTTTACAGCATTAGCAATCTTCCTGGAGAGAATTAAAAAGACAGCTTATACCAAGGGGAAATCAGACAAGTTAGTTTCAGAGAAGGAAGAGGTCGATGTGAATTAAAGTGGATGAGGTGAGAGTTGGAGAGTGAGTAGATACATGGAAAGGCGGAAGTGGGACTTTTCAGGAGAGTAAGTTACAAGCAGTAATGTGGATGTGGGAATGTGAGGCCCTTTGGGACTTAAAATATTTCACCAGGAATAGTAGAAGAGGTAATAGGAAAGCAAATTAAGCAAGGCCTTATTTGAGAAAAGAAGATCATGTAGATAGAATGAGGGATTAGTGGTGATAAAATCATGTATCTGGGTTGAAAAATTAGCAAGTGTAATAACAGACTAGAGCACAGTAAGTCATTGATCTTTTAGACTGTTAGTGTCCCTCCCTTTTTCAGTGTCAGTTAAGATAATTGCTATTAAACTTTTTGCCAGCTTCCTGATTAACTTGACAGCTACAGAATTCTGTTGGCTTCTGTTGCTTTTTAATCATCTGTCTGCTTAATTACCCAGTTGGTAAAGCATTGAAGGCTCATTGCCAATATGAACCATTTAATTTATTCTTTTTGCGAGCTGAACACTGCATTTGTGAGTCTGGTCAAAAGGGAGATAAGAGACATGCTATCATAGTGATAACACATCAACTAGAAGAAAAACTAAGGTTTTGTTAATGATGGGTTAGTAATGATGTCTTATTGTTCATTTATTTTTCATCAAGCATTTGAAAACTTAACCTGGGACCAGTCACTGGCTAACTTTGAGAATACCAATGTGAAGGAAGACTAAATGTAAACATAAATTTGACAA